ATATCACAGAAATCATTATAGGGGACTGGAATGCAAAAGTAGAAAGTCAAGAAGCACCTGCAGTAAAAGGGAAATTTGGCCTTGGAGTACAGAATGAAGCAGGGCAAAGGCTAATAGAGTTCTGCCAAGAGAAGGCACTGGTCTTAGCAAACACCCTCTTCCAACAACACAAGAGAAGACTCTACATGTGGACATCACCAGATGGTCAACACCGAAACCAGATTGATTATATTCTTTGCAGCCAAAGATGGAGAAGCTCTATACAGTCAGCAAAAACAAAACTGGGAGCTGACTGTGGCCCAGAACATGAACTCCTTACTGCCAAATTCAGACTGAAATTGAAGAAAGTGGAGAAAACCACTAGACCGTTCAGGTATGACCTAAATCAAATCCCTTATGACTATACAGTGGAAGTGAGAAATAGATTTAAGGGACTAGATCTGATGAGTGCCTGATGAACTATGGATGGAGGTTCAGGACATTGTACAGGAGACAGGAATCAAGACAATCCCCAAGAAAAAGAAATGCAAAAAAGCAAAATGGCTGTCTGAGAAGGCGTTACAAATAGCTGTGAAAAGAAGGGAAGCAAAAAGCAAAGGAGAAAAGGAAAGATATACCCATTTGAATGCAGAGTTCCAAAGAATAGAAAGGAGAGATAAAAAAGCCTTCCTCAGCGATCAATGCAAAGAAACAGAGGAAAACAACAGAATGGGAAAGATTAGAGATCTCTTCAAGAAAATTAGAGATATCAAGGGAACATTTCATGCAAAGATGGGCTCAATAAAGGACAGAAATCATAGGGACCTAACAGAAGCAGAAGATATTAAGAAGAGGTGGCACGAATGCACAGAAGAACCATACAAAAAAGATCTTCACGGCCCAGATAATCAGAATGGTGTGATCACTCACCTAGAGCCAGACATCCTGGAATGTGAAGTGAAGTGGGCCTTAGGAAGCATCACTATGAACAAAGCTAGTGGAGGTGATGGAATTCCAGTTGAGCTATTTCAAATCCTGAAAGATGATGTTGTGAAAGTGCTGCACTCAATATGTCAGCAAATTTGGAAAACTCAGCAGTGGCTACAGGACTGGAAAAGGTCAGTCTTCATTCTAATCCCAAAGAAAGGCAATCCCAAAGAATGCTCAAACTATGGCACAATTGCACTCATCTCACACACTAGTAAAGTAATGCTTAAAATTCTCCAAGCCAGGCTTCACCAATATGTGAACCATGAACTTCCAGATATTCAAGCTGGTTTTAGAAAAGGCAGAGGAACCAGAGATCAAATTGCCAACACCCCATTGGGTCATCGAAAAAGCAAGAGAGTTCCAGAAAAACATCTATTTCTGCTTTATTGACTATGCCAAAGCCTTTGACTGTGTGAATCACAATAAACTTTGGAAAATTCTGAAAGAGATGGGGATAACAGACTACCTGATCTGCCTCTTGAGAAACCTGTATGCAGGTCAGGTAGCAACAGTTAGAACTGGACATGGAACAACAGACTGGTTTCCATTAGGAAAAGGAGTACATCAAGGCTGTATATTGTCACCCTGCTTATTCAACTTCTATGCAGAGTACATCATGAGAAACGCTGGGCTGGAAGAAGCACAAGCTGGAATCAAGATTGCCAGGAGAAATATCAGTAACCTCAGATATGCAGGTGACACCACCCTTATGGCAGAAAGTGAAGAAGAACTAAAGAGCCTCTTGATTAAAGTGAAAGAGGAGAGTGAAAAAATTGGCTTAAAGCTCAACATTCAGAAAACTAATATCATGGCATCTGGTCCCATCACCTCATGGCAAATAGATGGGGAAACAGTGGAAACAGTGGCTGACTTTATTTTTCTGGGCTCCAAAATCACTGCAGATGGTGACTGCAGCCATGAAATTAAAAGACACATACTCCTTGGAAGGAAAGTTATGACCAACCTAGACAGCATATTGAAAAGCAGAGACATTGCTTTGTCAACAAAGGTCTGTCTAGTCAAGGCTATGGTTTTTCCAGTGGTCATGTATGGATGTGAGAGTTGGACTACAAAGAAAGCTGAGCACTGAAGAATTGGTGGTTTTGAACTGTGGTGTTGGAGAAGAATCTTGAGAGTCCCTTGGACTGCAAGGAGATCCAACCAGTCCATCCTAAAGAAGATCAGTCCTGGGTGTTCATTGGAAGGACTGATGTTGAAGCTGAAACTCCAATACTGTGGCCACCTGATGCGAAGAACTGATTCATTTGAAAAGATCCTGATGCTGGGAAAGATTGAGGGCAGGAGGAGAAGGGGACGACAGAGGATAAAATGGTTAGATGGCATCACCGACTCGATGGACATGGGTTTGGGTGGACTCCGGGAGCTGGTGATGGACAGGGAGGTCTGGCATGCTGCGGTTCATGGGGTTGCAGAGAGTCGGACACGACTGAGCGACTGAACTGACTGACTGAACTGCCAGACCCTCACAGCTCCTCAACACCTCAGCTTCGTTGTCTGCTTCATAAGATAATAGAAGTCTTAACCAACAGCGGACCGATCCGAGGGTTACAAGGGAAAGTGGAATGTCAAGTACTTACACCACGTGTATCCACAGGGACCTGGGTCAGATAGAGCTGTGGACACAGAGGAGAAAGGATGTCTAACAGAACCACCACATTCTCCAAGCTAAATCCCCACAGGCCAGGGATAGTCTGCCACATTCCTTGACCACTTTCCACAGCACTTTGTGCTTTTATATAAGAAGGTTGATAGATCGTCAACAAGGACCTACTGTATAGACCAGGGAACTCTACTTAACATCTTGTAATAACCTATATGTGTAAAGAATCTGACAAAGAATGAATATATGTATATTTAACTGAATCACTTTCCTGCACACCTGAAACTAACAGGACTCCAATACAAAATTAAAATAAATGCTTTAAAAAAATTGAAAAAAGAAAAAGATGAAGAAAATGCGTAGACAGAATCTTGCACATTTCTCTAAGTGATGATTCAGAGTCTAAACATCATGGGTGTTTGTGTATGTGTGACTGCAGAATTCACACCAAACAAAAAAGAGGACTTGAAATTAGCAAGAGTCACAAAATAGAAGACAAGAAATCAACTTCAGATGTTCAGAAGTGTGTGTACTCTCATATGTGTAAAAGCAGACAGGTTGCCTAGGAAAGTATATTTTAACTGAAACTACACTGGTAGCAGTTCCTGACTAAAGTCTTCCAGTTTCCTCCTTCCTGCTCCCTGGGAGCAGTCTGTGCACTCAGGACTCCCTACCCTGAGAGGAGGAAAGGTCAGCTTGCCCCACCTGAATGAAGTCCTTTCCCAGTGCTCTCCATAGACCGAACATGGCTCCATTCATTTTTCTTCTTCATTCAATAGTTTTCTCCCTATAAATTATTTCTGCATGCTTTATTTAAATCTGAAAATATGTTTAGCTTTACTCTGGTAATGGGAACAGTTTTGTCATTAAATACTCTGAAAGTTAGAATACTGTGAATAAAATATAACAGTATTTCTATTAGGAGTAATTTTTCCCATACCCCCCAGGCAACAAATCCTGAAGAACAGTAATGGAGAGACAGACTCCAGTGAGAACAAACATCACATGCACAATATAAAACACACAGTGCACAGCATCTTTGCAGGTTCTCTCCGATGAGCTGTGTTTTCTATAATTAGTCCTTGGAAGCCTGGGTTTTAACAGCCAAAGGATAATGCATCTAATTATGTAAATCTCAGCTACAAGAATTGTCAACCTCATATTGTTATCCGAAAAACTGAGTCTGCCTGTTGGTGGATGTTGAGCTTGAAAAACACAACCAAAGCAAAAAGCGGAAGAAAGAAAGATTTATTACTTGCAGCAGGTAAGTAGAACACCAGCAACGCTTATCAAAGCAAAGTCTCCCGGAAGAGCAAAACTGGGGAAATTTTATATTAAGGGTATGTGTGTATTCATAAAGAGGCTTGGGAGGTAGGCAGAGTCCAGCCTTTAGTTGCCTGAAATCTGAGGGTCAGAAAAAGTCAACACTATCATCTCTTAGGTTCCGCTTGACCAGGTGGCTGAGAACTTTAGGCTAATCCTTACCACTGAAACAGAACTGGGAGTCTTTAAAACTGATATTATCTTTGCTATTGTTACTTTGCTATTATTATCTTTGCTATTGTTACCTGATAACAGTCTGAATTATTTTTTTTTCCACTTAAGCTCCTTAATTACTGAGACCTGTTCGAGGGCAAGTATTGTGGCCAAACTTTGATTAGAAATGGCTTTGGACCAAAAATGGCTTTGGACCAAAAATGGCTTCTCTTACGTCAAGAAAGCTATGCCATCATGAAACCCCTACCTTATCTGCTTATAATATTTCTTTCCAGTTCAGCCTTATTCAATCTAGTAAGACTTTGGGGGACTAACACTGGTATCTAAGATAGATACTGGCTTCTCTGGTGACTCAGCAGTAAAGAATCCTATAGCCGCAGATGTGGATTCGATCCCTGGGTCTGGAAGATCCCCTGGAGAAGGGCATGGCAATCTACTCCAGTATTCTTGCCTGGAGAATCCCATGGACAAGAGGAGCCTGGTGGGCTACAGTCCGTGGGGTTACAAAGAGTTGGACACGGCTAAAACGCCTAGCACATCTAAATAGATACTGGTGTCTAAGATAGGAAAATCACAGCTAAGATCTTAAAGTGTAAAAGCAATACTTCTTGGTATTTCCAAAGAGGCTTAATAAACATTTCATATGACTGCACACAGATAAACAACACAGATTACTTTTCCTGACATTCTGGCACAAACAGAATCAGAGAAACATAAAATTAAAATGAAATACAGAGTCAGCTAGCCAGCATTCCACCGAAGTCAATCACCACATGCCCACTGATGGCAGTAGCTAAGGCGCAAACATGTAAAGAAAAGGGAGAACCTTTTCTAGAACCTCCTCCAGTCACATTACAAGGAAGGATAAATTCACAGAATCAACAACATGAGCGGCCAGGGGAAAATATCCTTTTTATTCAATTTTTTTAAAAATTAAGATACAGGTGGAGCCGCCGCCTCGGCGCCTGCAGCAGCCGCTGTCGCCGCCGCCGCCGCTGCTGCTGGGGCTGCCACCGAGCCGAAGGACAGGGAGCGCGGCTGCAGAGAGCGGCCGCCGGCAGCAGCAGCGAGCGTCGCAGCGACAGCGGAGCGCAGCCCGCCCCGTGAGGCGCTGCCCGGCCGGCGGCGGCAGCGGGAGCAGCAGCAACAGGGTGGCTGAAGACCCGGCAGCGGCTTTCCTCCCCGCAACCTCCCCTCCCGCTTCGCGTCCCTGAGGTCTTCCCTCCCGCAGCCTTCCCTTTGCCACCTCCCGGCCTCCTCCTCCCCGGCGCGCGCAGAGCAGCTGAGCCCGGGGGGCGGGGGGAGGGGGCGCGTGCCGCCGGCGTGGGGGAGGGGCGGACCGGCGCGCGCCCCGCCCAGGGCTCGCGGAGACCCGAGGGGCGCGTGCCGCGGCGTGAGGCGAGGCGCGGGGCGCGGGGCGGCGCGGCGGGGCCCCTCCCCCCTGCGGCCTGGCGCGCGCCGGCCGGGCCGCACCGCTCCGGGCTCGGCGCGCGCGGGCCATGTCCGCCTTCTGCCTGGGCTTGGCCGGCCGCGCTTCAGCACCCTCAGAGCTGGACAGCGCCTGCTGCATGGAGCTGCCCGCCGCGGCCGCGGACGCAGTCGGGAATCCAGCCGCCGCCACCGCCACTGCCCTCATCGGGGGCCCCGGGGAGTTGGAACTGGCGTTAGAGGAGGAGCTGGCGCTGCTGGCGGCTGGAGAACGGCCGTCCGAGCCCGGGGAGCATCCTCAGGCCGAGCCCGGGCCTCCAGCCAAGGCGGCCGGACTGCAGCCGCCGCCCGCCCAGGATCCCGAGCTGCTGTCAGTGATCCGGGAAGAAGGATCTGGTCTTGGCGGCCCGACTGGGCAAGGCATTGCTCGAGAGAAATCAGGACATGAGCCGGCAGTACGAACAGATGCACAAGGAACTAACAGATAAGCTGGAGCACTTAGAACAAGAGAAACACGAACTAAGAAGACGATTTGAGAACCGAGAAGGCGAGTGGGAAGGGCGTGTGTCTGAGCTGGAGAGTGATGTGAAGCAGCTTCAGGATGAGTTGGAGAGGCAGCAGGTTCATCTACAGGAAGCAGATCGAGAGAAAACACGGGCCGTCCAGGAGTTATCAGAACAGAACCAAAGGTTATTGGACCAACTCAGCAGGAGTACATCATGAAAAATTAAGATATATTCTTTAAACAGAATTTCTAATTTTATGAAAGGCATAAGGGTAACAGTTTGTCTTTACTTCTATTGGGAAGGAAGAGGGAGACAGAGTTGAGTGTATCCTTCAAAGTTTTTTCTAATTTAAAATCAACATAGACATCTGATCTTGATATAAGAATTTTCCTATTGAGGTATAATTTACATAGAACACTATATTGGTTTCAGACATACAATTGAATCATTTCGTATTTGTATATATTGCAAAATAATCATCACAGTAAGTCTAGTTAACATCCATCACTGTACACAGTCATAGATTTTTCTCTTGTGATGAGAACTTTTAAGATTACTCTCAGCAACTTTTAAACATGCAATACAGTATTGTTAACGATATTCATCATGGTATACATTACAGCCCCATGTCTTATTTATTCGTAACTGGAAAAGCATACCTTTTGAACCCCCTTCACTCATGTCACCTACTTCCCACCCCCACACCCCGACCTCTGCCACATAGCCTTTGGAGTTAGTGTTTTCCTCTTTTCCTGTATGAACACACAGAAGTGAAATTGCTGTATCATTTGGCATTCTCAGTTTCAATGCCTTGAGGAAACTTCACATGAGTTTCCACAGTGGTGGCACCAATCTGTGTTCCCACTAAGAGTGCACGAGTGTTCCCTTCTCTCCACATCCTTGTCAACACTTGTGATTTCCTATCTTTGGATGATGATCACACCAACAGCTGTGAGGTGATAGCTCCTTGTGGTTTTGATCTGTATCTCCCTGATGATTACTGATGTTGAGCATCTTTCTCGATACACGTTGGTCATCTGTGTGTGTTCCTTGGAATAATGTCTATCTAGATCCTCTGTCCATTTTTAATTAGGTGGTCTGTTTGCTATTGAGTTGTGTGAGATCTTACTGTATATTAGATATTAGCCCATTATCAGATACATTATTTGCAAATATTTCCCCCACACAGCTGGCTGCCTTTTCATTGTGTTGATAGACTCCTTCACTGTACAAAGGCTTCTAAGTTTGATGTAGTCACTTGTTTATTTGTACTTTTATTGCCTTTGCTTTTGGCATCATATATAAAAAATCTTGGCCAAGACTAATGTACAGGAGCTGGCTGTGTAGGTTTTATTCTAGGAGTCTAATGATTTCAGGTCTTACATTCAAGTTTTTATTCCATTGAGTTATTTTTTGTGTATGATGTAAGATAGTAGCCCAGTTTTATTCTTTTGGGTATGGCTGTCCAGTTCTCCCAACACCATTTATTGAAGAGATTGTCCTTTCCCATTGCATACTCTTGGCTCCTTTGTGATAAATAAATTGCTTATATCTGTGTGGATTTGTTTTGGGGCTCTTGATTCTGTTCCTTTAATCAATGTGCCTGTTTTTATACCAATACTATATCATAGTTTTGTAATACAATTTAAAATCAGGAAGCATGATACCTCCAGATTTGTTCTCTCTGAAGATTGCTTTGGTTATTCAGGTATTTTGTGGCTCCTTACATATTTTAGGTTTTTTTTCTTTTTCTCTATTTCTGTGAAAATTGCATTGGAATTTTGATAGGAACTGAATTGAATCTCTAGATTGCTTTAGGTTGTATGAACATTTTAACAATAATTCTTCTTATCTATGAGCCACAGAATATTGTTCCATTTATTTCTGTGTTCTTCAATTGCTTTCATCAATGCCATAGATTTCAGAGTACAGGACTTTCACTTCCATGGTTAAATTTATTCATAGGTATTTTATTTTTTTGATGCAATGCTTATTTTTTTCCCTAATAGTTCATTATTAGTGTATAGGAATGCAACCAATTTTTGTATATTTATTTTGTAGTCTGCAACTAGAGTTGTTATTACTTCTAAGAACTTTTTGGTGAAGTATTTAGGATTTTGTATGTATAATAACATCATCTGCAAATATTGAGAATGCTACTTTTTCCTTTCTAACTGGATGCCTTTGATTTCTTGCCGAGTTACTCTGAGTAGGACTTCTAATATTATATTGAATAAAAGTGGCATCTGTGGACATCCCTCTCTTGTTCCTGATATCAGAGGAAAAGCTTTCATTGAGCATAATGTCAGTAAAGGGCTTATCATATAAGGGCCTTTATTGTTTTATATCCCATCTGACTATTTCCCACCTGGTAACTTCACTTACTCCCCATTTTCACTTAAAACTGTATCAGAAACTTTGAAACATCTTGCTTTCTTTCAGTTTCATCTTGGTTTAGAAAATAGAAATGTTTAACATTTTTCTAATTTAGTTCAAGTAATTGCTGCATAATTCAAGTAGATTCAAAAGCAGATAGACTCTAACTTATAATAGCAAGTTCTGATACAAATGCCACTAGATGATACTCTGAGTATGTGACATGAGCTGGATGACTTTTTAATTACAGGAATTTGTAGCTTTTGCAAAGATAACTACTTTTACAAATGCTTTTCTAGATGTTTTTGTCTTACACAGAAATACATGCTTGTTTGTACGAGTATAATTGGCATAGTGAAAGTGAAGTCGCTCAGCCATGTCTGACTCTGTGAGCCCATGGACTGTAGCCTACCAGGCTCCTCAGTCCATGGAATTTTCCCGGCAAGAGTACTGGAGTGGGTTGCCATTTCCTTCTCCAGGGGATCTTCCCACCCCAGGAATCCAACCTGGGTCTCCCGCACTGCGGGCAGATGCTTTACCATCTGAGACACAAGGGAAGCGAGAAGTGTTAATAACAACTCCCTACACACAACACACACACACACACACACACACAACACACACACACACAACACACACACACAACACACACACAACACACACACACAACACACACAACACACACACACACACACACACACACACACACATGATTCCATTGCTCTATTGTTTTGTCATTGACATAATGATGATTCTTTATGTCCATACACACATTTATAGGATTAGGTTCATTTTCCTTGTATTGTGATTACAAAATGATGTTATTCCTCAGTTTAAACTAGGTTCAATTTCTGCATTTCCATTTTTCATTTCCATAAAGTGATTTCATGTGTGGGAAATGAAATACTATTGTTGCCTGTCAGTCTTAAACCACTTTGAATCCTATATTGGTCTCCTATGGTAAACCTTTAAGACTTCTTTCTTTTTTTTTTTTCTGGTAACATTTTCTACATAGTGGATTGTATTAGTTACATTAATTAAGTAGCAAACGCCCACCTACCTTATTGAGGTGGATATGCTTTTAATCCACAAACACAGATCAAAAGAAAGAAATGATTATATTATTAGAGTTAAAAAAGAAAAAGTGATATCTCTAGTTGATTTTTTTGTAAAGAATGATTTAAAAGCAGTACTTTGAAGTGGGAATCTAAAGTCATTTGTTTATTTGGAGGCTTAAGTAACGGTACCTGCCAGGAAATAGACAGAGCCTTGTCTCTCACTTCCCACTCCCTTTCATGTGTTTCAATTACAGGGAAGGTCAATGGTGCTGAACAGCCCAGGTACCAGGGCACCTTTCATTATCTTCCCTGTCAGGAAGTCCCCAGAGCCCATTAGCCTTCCTCCGTGTTTATGGGGAAAGGCACAGTGTTCTCGCACACCGCAGAGAACATAAGAACTGACTTCTCAGTCTAGCAGGCTTTTACCAATGTCTTCTGGAAAACAAGTTTGCCCGTTTCAGAGCCAGCCTGGAATGTAATTTGAACTCAAATACCAATATCATTTAGAATGACTGAAATAATACCTTAATCTTGTGAGATCAGCAAACTACTTTGTATAGTCACATTTTTCTAAATGTTAGCTTTAACTGTGTTTATTAATCAAGCAAGCACAAAGTATACAAGTAAAATTTTTCTTTGAATTTTTAATGTTGAATGAATTGAAATAATTGGGATATTAAAGAATGAGAGAATAGTAATGAACATATATACATGCATGCTAAGTTGCTTCAGTCGTGTCTGGCTCTTTGCAACCCTATGATTGTAGCCCACCAGACTCCAGAGCCCATGGGGATTCTCCAGGCAAGAATACTTGATTGGACTGCCATGCCCTCGTCCAGGGGATATTCCAGACCCAGGGATTGAACCTGGGTCTCTTACGTTTCCTGCATGGGCAGGTGAGTTATTTACCACTAGTGCTACCTGGGAAGCCCAAGGAACATATATGCACTAAAGCATGTACTCTGTACTAGGTAGGTTCTCTTTTCTATCATATCATAATGCCACCAAACACTAAAATTTAGAACAATCTATAGGTGTCCTTTATGACTCCTCTTCTCTGAATATTGTCCTCCATGCAGACTCCATCAGGATTCACCTTCCTTAGAAACAATAGGTAACCTATGAACAGGGAAGATGTTCAGGGAATGGAAATAAAGTTCAGGCTCCACCAAACTTCTCTTGCCAAGTTCAGATGTGCTTATATTTAGCCTGAGACAAAAACTTTGTTCCTTTTCCTCATTAATGTTCCTAACCTGCGACAAAGGCAATTGTAGGAAAGGCAACATGGCCTTAAATTTTCCCTCATCCATTCTCTAAGAACTTCCATTTTCCAGAGAAGACTGTGACCTAGAAAAGGACATCAAACTCCAGATTAAGGTGGGATAGGTGGAAACACGACCATTGGGATGGGGTTGCCAGATAAAGACACTATGCCCAGATAAGCTTGAATTTCATATACACGTGTAGTCTGGGAAACATGATCAACGTATAAATATATAAAGGGCTTCCCAGGTGGCACTAAAGTGTTAGTCGCTCAATCATGTCTGA